CCTGCATTACTAGCGTGTTTTGGTAATGAAAATTGCCTATAATTGATTACATAAAACTTTACATTTTTGTGGAGAAAAAACACTGAATATGAAATATTAAGCAAATGAGTTTACATCCGCGATACACTCAAAATGGCGAATGGGGGCGTGTTAGACAGTGCAGAAACGTGACTGACAAAGACCGATGCAAGGTTTGCTACTGAAGGGATTCGCAAAATTTCACGGCTGGGTGTTTAAAAAAACTCAACTAGACATGGTCATGCCACCATTATGTTCAGCCGAGGGACCAAATAGTACGTAAACATCATCTAGGGGTGTTGATCAAGGGAGAAAACAACGATGGTGAATGGTTGAAGAAATTATGATGCTTAAGTGACGAGATATTGTTACACGATAAAAAAAATTATAAAAATTAGTGTAAAACAATATTGGACACACTCCTGCAGGGTGTCCAGCCTTGGCTGTAACCTCACTGTGGCAATGAAGGCTGAATCTGAAGATCTACACAAGCGGCTCCTGACTCCTGATTGGCGGGGGAGAAAAAAACACAACACGAATGCATCGATACACATACCCCCCTGTATCGATCTAAATGTAAAGTTATAAAGCGGATTTGAGGTGCTATGCGTCTTGTCTGCTGCATGTCTACAGCGCTCTATGTGTATTGTGCTAATAACCGGAAATATCAATTGGACTGGCGTTTAATACGGTGATCTGTATAAGCAGTGCTCTAAGTGGAGAAATAAAAGTGTCGCTACTGTATTGACCGTGAGAACGGCGGCGGGGGTGTTGGGAACAACAGGAGCGCCTCAACAGCACTGACGGTACGGCGCGCGGTGCCCCGCCACTCTCGCGTGATGCTTGTCTCTGAGTAGCAGAGTACTTAGAACTTGTGAGAAGTGGTGGTACGATAAAGATTAAGATATAGCAGTGCCGGTACTGCTTAATTTTTGTTACGTACAGTATATGATCCCGCATTTGCGCTTGCGACACCCCGGCGCACGCCTCTTCTTCACCCCGACCTGCAGAACTGTCGTAAAAGTGGAAATGAGTTGCGTTGTGAATCTGCGGTCGATTACTTTTTCTCAAGGACCCGGATGTGTGTCACACTAGATTGAAATTGAATTTGCGAACTGAATTTTTCGAGGTAAGATAAATGCTATCTCGAGTTATGTGTGTCACACTAGATTGAAATTGAAATTGAATTCGCGAACTGAATTTTTCGAGGTAGGATAAATGCTATTTCGAGTTACTGGAATTCAGATTCAAACTATTAAATTCAGATTCAGTTTTGTAATGCGGATAACTGCAGATTCAAATACTGTATACAAAATTCATATTCAGTTTCTAGTGGCACAAATATCAGCCCATACAATTTGTCTAAAAAGGTAACCAGCCATAAACCTTCATCCATTCAATGTATAACCCCTGTGGAAAAAACGGGGTACTAGACTGAGGTGCAGTGGTACGGTGGCGCCAACAGAGGGCGCCCCAAACAATCCATTAGGATAGACCGATAAGTTATGTTCTCTCGCAAATTTTTTCTCTTCCTTCACCGAGAGATGCACCCAGGGAGACATGCTGCTGGGAAAAGGACTCGATTTCACGTACATAGTTATACAAAGTACAACACATAGTGAAATGCACCCTGAACCGCTCTTTTGTAGACTGTGCAAGTTGCTAAAGTTAAATTTATAAAGTGCAAAAGTGCAGAAAGCAGCTAAAAATACAAGCAGAGGAGTACGTTCAATATGAACGTAACCAGACGTAAAAGTGACTAGTGTAGCGGTGAGGGGTATAAAGCACATTATACAATGTACATCAGGGTGTGAGATGCAATGGCATGTCCAGGTTCAGAAACCTTATGGCCTGGGGTAGAAACTCCCCTTAACTGTAATAAGGGATATAATTGTTTACAGCCAGTGCACACCCAGACTGGGACAGGGGCCTGTGTCGGCTCACCTGCCTGAGTAAAGGACTGAACCAGGGAGAGGGATATTTTCTTTCAATTTCTTCTATCATTTTTTCTAAAAGCTCTTCCTTTTCTTATGCACAAAGTTACAAACTGCTGTTAAATGCAAGGCAATAAAAGTGGCCATTGTTCAACCCAGTCAGCTCCCTGTCCCTGGACGAATGCTGAAACAGTGCGCAAGTCAGCTGTCTGCAGTCCTCACCAGCCTGTTCAACATCTCCCTGAAACAAGCCACCATCATCCCCATCCCTAAACAGGCAGCGGTCAGGACCCTGAACGACTACCGTCCAGTGGTCCTGACCCCCATTGTTATGAAGTGCTTTGAGCGGCTGGTCTTAGCACACATCAAGAATAACATCCCTCCCTCCCTGGACCAACACCAGTTTGCCTAAAGGTCAAACGGGTCAGCTGAGGATGCCATTACATTGGCCCTCCACACTGCCCTATCACACCTGGAGCAGCATGACAGCTACGTGCGGATGCTGTCTATCAACTACAGCTCCGCCTTTAACACCATCCCCCCCACCAAGCTGCCCATCAAACTGCACAAACTTGGACTAAACACACACCTGTGCAACTGGGCCTTGGACTTTCTGACCAACAGACCACAGACAGTGCGCATGGGTAACCACACCTCCACCTACATCACTCTCAACACAGGAGCACCTCAGGGCTGTGTGCTCAGCCCCCTCCTCTACTCCCTCTTCACACACGACTGTAAACCCACCCATGATTCCAACATCATAATTAAGTTTGCAGACAATACAACTGTGATAGGTCTGATCTTGAACAAAAACGAGTCAGACAACAGGGAAGAGGTCGAGAACCTTGAGCGCTGGAGCCAGGACAACAACCTCACCCTGAACTCAAAAAAGACAAAAGAACTGATCCTGGAATTTAGGAGACGGAAGCATGGGGGCCACCACCCCATCAGCATCGCTGGTGAGAAGGTGGAGGTGGTTCAGAGCTTTCGATTCCTCAGGGTTCAGATCAGCTGTGACCTGTCATAGACCACGAACATCAGTCCTAGCAAAAAAATGACTCCAGAGGCACAAATTCCACAGCAGCTCCTGGTGATCTTCTACAATTTCCCCAAAAATATAAAATGCTGGAATTCAGTGTGGACTTTCCAAAAAAAAAAAAACAATGTTGTAGTGAAGAAAGGCTTGACCTACAGCACAGGATATCAGAGTGAGTGAAGTTTGCTTGGTATCAGGATGGAGGGCTATCAAATAAAAACAAAAACAAACTCAGGCTTCAGCTTCTTTTAGGGCAAGAAAACTTTAGTTCTGTTGAAAACAAAGCTTGCAATGAAATAACTTTTAATAAGTTTTCTTACCCTAAAAGTAACTCAGGACATCGTGCATTGCAGCTCTCTCTGCAGGTTGTAAGAACTTTAGCTTTGTTAGTCAAACTGCACTGAAATGTGGGTTGGAGAGTAAATGTTGTTGTTCAACAGACAACACAGGAAATAGGAAACAGATGTCTTCAAATACGAGAAAAAAAAATCACCCATTTCATTATGTTCTTGATTTAATGTCAATTCAGTTTCAAAATGAAATGTTTCAAGAGACAAAATCCAAAAGTTATACTTATAAACAAGATTACATTAGTGACAACCCAAGTCAATGCAATCAGAAACGCAAATTAAAAAGTATAAAGTTATTAAAACTACTCAAGAAATAGTGAAATGGTCTGTTATTGCACTTGTTATGAGTTTTGTCCTTCTTCTGGTTCTAGAGATCAGGTGTGAGATGGCTTTGGGAAAATAACCTACTACTGAACTTTCTTGTGTTCATGTGTGTGAATAGTTCTGTAGCACCAGTAGGATGGTAGGAGGACATTTGGTTGCCATATAGAGGAGCATTACACCGTTTGTTTTTCCTTTTGGCATACAGCGCAGTATTTTGTGTCACATGAACAGGAACTACCGTGTCATTTAACAGGAAGACTTCAGTGCTTCAGTGATTTTTGCTGAAACTATCGCAGAGCTACACGTGTTTCATTACTTGCTAAGATGATCACATACAGTGTGATAATATTTTTTGTAGCCTGGGTCACTCTCACTGTGGAGACAGGTATGTTTTTTCAGAAGTGATGTGGAGGTGTTGTGGCAGAAGTGAAACTTTGTCAGAGAGAACTTGCCTAAAATGTAATATAGTAGCAATAATGATGTTTGATTTATGATGATGGCAGTAAAGTTGATAAATATGGCGGTGAAGCTGCAGAAGTGCCTGATTCTCTAAGAATAATAGAACAGGTCTGTGACCATGATACTATTTGCAAAGGCAGGTTACTGCATTAGAGAAATGCGCTTTACCAGTGGTGATAAATATGTATTTGTCTCTGTAAGGGGAATTATTTCTGTCTTTAACTGCATTATTATTATTTTTTTACCAAAAATGGGCAATGGCATACAGTAGATCACAGAAACATCCTCTCTGCTGAAAAAGTGATACAAAAGTTCTCGTAATAGGGCTACTGTGTACTGATATCTAAAATAAAATTTAATCTACTCAACCGTTTTTAGATTAAGAATTAATATTATACAATGATGTTTTATTCTATATAATGTTGTTTAGTTCCCTTCTACACAATGATGATGTTCTGTTCTATAGAATGATGTTTAATGATGTAAATTATTTTTTAAAGCTCTTCATATTCTCGGGATTGTCTGTTGGTGAAATGAGACAAAGACTAAACATGTCTTTACTGCTCAGTTTATTTCATCACAAAAGGATGAGAGCAATAATATATGATAATAATATATGACCCTTTTTTGTTACTTATTGTATCCAGTCTAGCTATTTGAGTGCTCACCCTGACACTGGTAGCTATTTAAGCAGTTTTGGTTGGTAGCTGCATGTACTAAAATATTAATAGAAAAGGACTCTAGTGAGCACATATGTTTACCCTTTATTTTTGATATCATATTTTACATTTTAACAAAGGTTGTGGGAACATCAGCACAATAATATTATTACCTAAAAATTCTTCCAGTTAGTGGATCTAACAAACCTATCTCAGAGGCTGCAAGGCAATAATCAGCATGTTTGATTAGTTAGCTCAGGAGATGAGTCAACAGCAGTGTGGGTGATAGACTTGACCAGCTGTTCCCTGGCAGTTTAACCAAATTAAATGATTAAGCAACAATCTAGGAATGCTGTGTATGAATTTAACACCACCTCCTTATTTAGCAAGTTCAGACAACAAAGAATTAATCTAAATATAATTTATTTGTCAGGTAAAAACAACATACATCAATCACAATTCAAAACCAGCTAAACAGAGATCAACCTACCTAGAACCTAAAAGGCTACTTATTTCCTGGACTACCTTATACATACAGGATACAGCACACAGAGTGATACTGTACATACCCATGACACATGATAGATCTGGCTACAGATGTTAATCACGCAGTACCATGTGGGAGCTCTGGCTGCAGGGCGTCTCCCCAGGAAAGGCTGCAGATCGTGGGGGTGCCAATGAGACCGAGCATGTCGGGGTTCTGGCTACAGAGTGCCCCCCCCTACTGCTTTGTGGACCCCTCCTTAGATACCACACCAAGTGACAGACATCTGTTTGCAATGTTTTTTTTCTTGTGAATTATGAAAGCCCAAAAACATGGTAAAATTCTCGTAACTTACTACATCCTTCTTATATTACGATATACAGTTTAAGGCCTGATACCAGTTCAAATACCAGTTACACTGAGACCATGCAAATGGCACCAGACATTAATATTGTAACACCGGTGAGATCTGCGCATACCTCATGAACGCTCGTGTATATAGCCCTATGTCTGTGTAATTGTAAATAGCCCTTGTATTGTTGTTGTTATGGCTATAATTGCCTTCCCAATCGGGGCGTGTATGTTTATCCAGGTCTTGCATGTACCCTGTTCGATCCTCACGTCTTCTTAGCTTGTATAAATCTCCCACCATGTGTGCACCTTACAGTTCAGCGTCTGACCACCTTGTGTTTCTGCTCTGTGTATTTGGGGCTTGGTGCTCATTGGGTGCCTGCTGCAGTCCTGTTCAAGACTAGAATGAAGAGCATGTTCTGTCCCGGCAAGCAAGTCTCCGCGTCCTTCACTGTGCTTCTGATGGCTCGGTCTGCCCTGCATATATCAGTTTCATTAACATTAAGCAGTGTTGCTCCCACTTAGGCTTTCTGTGTGGACTTTGTGTGACCTGGGACAGGTGGCAGGGAGAGAGGGGGGAGAGGGAGGTTTATGATCAGAAGCTCTGTGAGAGCCTGCAGTCGGCCACTTCTTGCTCAGAGGGGGTGAGGTCATCGGCTGAGGTCACGCTATCAGCTCTCTGTTGAGAAGTTGGGCCTCATTATTTAAAATGGAGTACAGTGTGACCTCTATTCGCAAGGAGTCCAGCCCATTTGACAAAACTAGCTTTCCTCTAAAGTTTGTTCTGCCTTCTAGCCTTTGTCACCTTGATATAATCACACAGCTGCAAAAAACTTTGCCAAGAATGAAATGGTAAAAAAATTCTAGTTTTCTCAAGAAAGTTACCACAGACCCTCCTGCAGCCATAACCTCCACCATGTTCCACGGATGTGGTGATCATAGGAGGATTCTATCTCTCTCGTACAGTTGAATCTTCATGTTATCAGTCCATAAGTCATTATTACAATTCTGTTCAGGTTTTTTTTATGTACTTCTTAGCAAACTGTAACCTATCATTTCTTTTCTTACACCTTTTCAGTGGCTTGCATCTTGTGGTAAACCCTCTGATTACATGCTAATGCAGCTGTTTATGGTTATTTGGAAACAGCTGCACCTACATCCTGGAGGGTGTTTTTGATTGGGCAGACAGTTCTGAAGGGTTTTTTCTTTACAAGTGAAAGTATTCTTCTGTCATCGACTGTGATAGTCTTCCTACGTCTATAAGGCTGTTTGGTATTTATTATAATAATGTATGTATAATGTTATTTCTGATAATGTAGGCTTTGGCACACCTAATGTTTTCTCTGTGTCTCAGATTGATTTTTTCTGATTTTCAGCCTCATGATGGCGTGCTTTACTGACATTGACACCTATTTGGTCCTCATATTTAGTGACAGTAGCAACAGAAATGAAAATACCACACTAGGCTTTTTATCAGCTTAATTGTGTATTAATTGATGATGCAGTAACATACATCTGGCCAAGGAACAGCTAAGCAGATAATTGTCCAAATATTTTTCCTCCCTTGCAGTAGGTATGTATAGAAAACAGAATTCTAAAAGTTAGAAATCTCACACAGGTCATCCAACATAGCTGTTCATAGGCTTAAATTAAAGCTGACAGCCAAAATACTGAAAATTGTGTCTCTGTCCAAATACTTAAGGTCTGTAATGTACAAGAAACAGTGTGTGTTTACATTTGAGCCAAATTATTTTTTCAAAAGCACTTTGTTTCTGTTTATCGGTTGATGCCCCGATATCATGCCATGGACAGATAGCTTTCTGGTGCTGAACAAACATTAGACCAAAGTACAGAACTAAATTACAAAAGTGTACATGGGCACAGGATGCTCTATAGTCATGGGGATTGGGCCAGAAGCCTATGCCAGTCCATCACAGGGCACAAGGCAGGGGTTCACTGGGCAGGGTGCCAGTCCATCACAGGGCACAAGGCAGGGGTTCACTGGGCAGGGTGCCAGTCCATCACAGGGCACAAGGCAGGGGTTCACTGGGCAGGATGGCAGTATAAGATCCAGAGTTCCTGGGTTAAGGGGCAGCGTGTGGTTCAGTGGGCTAAGCCTGTTTGCCTGTAATCACAAGATCGCTGGTTCAGCCTCAGCACATCTGCGGCTCCTTGCCCCTAACCCCCAGCTCCCTGGGCGCCGCTACGGGTGGCTGCCCTTCACAGACAACTTACTCTACAAAGAACAAGTTGAGGGAGGCGTAAAGACAATTTCCCCACGGGGATTAATAAAGTATCAATTATTATCATTATTATTATTATTATTATTGTTATTCCTCTGCCCTGTGCCCTGGGCTGTCTGGGAGAGGCTCTCTGTACTCAGTCAGCCGCTGGAAGGTAGATGGGCACCTTCTAGGGGTCTTTGGTGGTGAAATGTTATCTAACATGAAAGCAGAAATCTGCATGTCAGGCTCTGAAAGCACTGGGGGTGGCAGTGACCTGCATCAAGCTCACAGGAAACTCAGAAACCTGGAGTTTTGCCTTTTAAGAGAAATAGCACCTATAATAGTATTTTAGGCGCTAACATGGACCAAAGGAACCTTTGTGTGTTTATTGGGTGATTTAAGCTCATGGTTCTCCATCCTGTTGCTGGAGGAACATCTGCCAGATAGTTTTCATTCCATCCTTAATCAGGCTCAGATGGTCCTTAATGGGCTAATAATGACTGTGGCAGGATGAAAGGAGTGTGGGTTGGAATGAAAATATTCTGGCAGGAACGACTCCAGGAACAGGACTGAGAACCACTGATTTAAGCTGTATATATTATATATTAAGTACTGTAAAACTAATTTACAGCATGTACATGATATAATTTCTATCTACTATGAGCCCAAATGAACCATTAACATAGAGAAGATGACAAGGTCATTCTGTGTCAGCACATTGATACTTGGCCCATCAATTGTAACATGACTGTAGCAGAGTTAAGGTCATACCCTCAGGAATGTTTGGTGCAAATTAAGAAGCATGCACTACCAGCAATGTGTCCAATTGATATTTCTTCCTTGATATGTGTTAGATATTTAAAATGTCTGCTCTTGCATTCAGTACATTATGTAATTAGTTAATCAATTGGGGGTAAATTATATAAAAAATGTGCTCCATTTCTCTCCAGACTCCAGCCCTGCAGAGTCTCCCGTTTATAGATTAAAGGGAGCGTCTGTTCATCTCACAGTGGAGGGTCTTCAACATCCACAGATCAGAAGAATTACATGGCGACTCAACTCTACAGCAATGCTGGAACACACACTGGATACAAATCATACATATTACTACCCAGAGTATAAAAAGAAGGTGCAGTTTGACAGTAGTGACTTCTCTCTGCTCATTAAGAACGTAAATGAGACAGACCAGGGCACCTATACTGCTGTAATAACTGAAACAGGTGGGGCTGATTCTGAAAAAGCCAAGTACCGTTTGCATGTCCAGGGTAAGCAGGGAATTTGAGTATGTTTATTAGTGTCTCTGCTGTGCTGTCAAACTGATCATAACCTGTCTATGAAACATGCATTGGTTCTGCTTTGCAGAAGCCGTTGCCAAACCCTTTATACAGATGAATAATTTGACATTAGACTCTGCTGAAGGATTCTGCACTGTGTCAGTGAACTGCTCTGTGAGGGACAGCTGGGTCTATTACACCTGTGACCAAACCCAGTGCTCACAGACAGAGCCCCAGTCCTGGCCAGATGTGAACATCACTGTCACTGTTTATCATGGAAACATCATCTGCACAGGCAGCAACCGGGTCAGCAACAAGACCCAGTCAGAACCACTGGGACATGCATGTGAGTGTATGATGGTGAATTTGATTATTACTTATATGAGGACACTGAACACTACTTGCTACTTGCATTTTTAACTGTCTGGTGTTTGAAGCTGATGTGGCTCTTAACTGGATCATAATCACCTTGGTCACCATGATTATTTACTCTGTTGATAGCAAACGGTAGTAACTCCTGTGTGATACTCAAATGTGTTAATATACTGTACACAGAAAAGTGATTTCATTTGTAACCTCATGTACAATTTATATGCTTATTTTATCAAATACATGTGCAAATATTTGCATATTAAGTGCTATATAAGTATCAGTCCTGATTTCAATTTTTTTCATTAACAAGCTCTGTTTTGACCAAGAAGGTGTCAAACCCATTCAGGTTTTGAGCTGATGGGGATACAGGATTGGTTAGTTTCAGTTTGAATATTGTGTTTATCTGAGTTCAGTGATGGTCGGCAGTATAACTGACTGTAAACACAATGTCTGTTACAGGTATGAAGTCTGATGGCATTATTGTGCCTCCATCATTATGGTACATTGTGCTGATACTCGGCATTGTCTGCCTCTGCCTTGTTTGCATTGGTTTCATCTGTTTTAAAATGCGCCGTAAAAGGCATCCAAGAAATTCAGAGGTAACTTAATATTTTCATGGAATTATTTAGCAATTAATTAATGAAGCACTACATGTATAAAGATACAGAGATAAAAATGACGCCTTTGTACCCTGTAATGCATGTTGACCTGTAAAGTGCTGTATTGTGATGCAAACACATCTGAATTAGCAGTGTAATAACGCATGTTAACCTGCAGGGGGAGCTGAGTCCGGATGGAGTAAACGCTACATACATGGTGCCACGGGCCGCAAACAGAGCATTTTCCCCAAATACCCCCCAGGATAACACTGTGTACTGCACTGTGGGACACCCAAAGGACCTGCCCCCAGGACCACCCCCACCAGCTCACTGTGATGACACAAGTATTTACAGTCAGGTGAAAAAATAACATGGACTTTTCTACAGAATGACTGCTGGCTGGAACTTTGTAGCTCATGCCTGTGATGCCACTTCCTTTGCAGTGGGTCTGTGTGCACTGTACAATATTCATGTTATCAGATGAAACGAGGGCTCTACACGTTTCATATATGCCCACTGAATGGATGGAAAATATGTGATGTCTTACTCTTTTTAATCTGTGATACAGGAAACAAGTTCAGCAGCAACTTCCTCTTTTATTTTGTTGCCACAGTTACCAACAGACCAATAATAAGCAATTTTTCCACACTGGTATTTACCGAATTTAGCAGTGTGTGCTGGCTGGCACTCTAATGCAATGTCAGTTTGAAGTGTTTCATCCATGTTATATATTTTGATATTTACTGGTGGTAAAAGACTTGAGATCTTTGAGAAGGTGGAAAGATCCCATAGAGGAATAAATGCAGCAAATCATTAAAATGCAGCTCAACATTAATAAAAATGGAAGGAATTTCAATAAAGATGCTAAATCTCCAGGTGGTGCAGTGGCTAGATAAATAAACAGCATATGCTATATCTTATTACTGTTACCTTATAAATGCTACTAGATGAACTGTTGTATAAAAGCAA